CCCAAATGGGCAGCCAGAAGACAGCAACCAGAATGCATGCTTTAAGGGTTGTTTAAACTGAACTGAACTTGGCGATTTCAACAAAATTCAGTTAAAATTCTTACGAAAAGTTAGGGGAAAGTCAAATACAACTCACACAACCCTGGTGGTGAGTTTAACTGTGCTGTGCACAGAAATATCATACCTCTGAGCTAGAATAACAGCGATCGGTATACTTTATTGTTTCAATCCCTTCAGTTCGCTCACGTTTAGCCCTTTTGCATTAATCCAATCAATGGCATTTCCGTATATAGTCTATTCGACTGATATCCTGTGATCTAAAGGGTATAGGAGTCTCTATGCATGAATCTCAATTAAACCGAAGGAGGACATACACTCTTTATTTTCCTAGAACGTAAATTCACTGGTGATGCTCTTTGGTGACGGAAGATGAGTTATGGGTGAATTTGAGCTCCGGAGCTGCCGTCAAGAAAAATGAGCTCCCTCAACTTCGTACCAGATAGACAGCAAATACCCACTGTGTTGCACTGACAGTCATCACATCACTCTTATGGTTTTCAGAGGCGCTTCCAAACATGTCTTTGATGACTGCGTTAAATGTATGAAAATACATATTCATAGGTCAAACCCCTCGATTTGTGTAACTTTCGCTCCTCGCACACCTGATTGCCCACGCTAAATAAATTTTGTGATAACTTTCAGTCAATAGATGACAAAGAAGGCATTTCTTTGATAAAAACCCGCACCTGTTGAAACACCCAATCAACCATTCAAGGTATGCATGAAGGCTGAACTGCTGGACAGCAACTGAAGAAGATAGATGGGATCCGCGAGCTCCTAATAAGCATTCGTGAGCCATAGCATTGTCTTAATGCAGTTTTCAGCGACTTGGGAGTCAAAGTCATCTATGTGTATTTTGAAACAATCGATTCGTTGGTTCATTGTTTGTTGTGGAAGGTGGTAACGCATAGTCATCACAAGATGTAGTCTCCCTAATTTCTACAGCCCAGCTGCCCGCCAGGTAACCTTCAATTTTGTGAGTGCAACGCGTTTTCAGAGAAAGAGATAAAACTGTGACCTGTGGAACTATAATTGATCAACCCATTTGACTTGCATATCTAATCTCGTAGTTACCGCTCATGCATCGGTACTGTATAAAAGTGCTGCTGAATTAACCACATTGAAGTTTTCTGAGCCCACGGTACGGAGCCTCAGGAACATACATCATTTTGGAGGACGGATGGTTAGTGAACAGTTTATACTCATCATGTTGTCGTTGTTAATAATTCAGAGGGTCTTTCTGGGTTTCCATTTGAGGTAATTCAACAGAATTGCTATATGAGGTTTAGTAAATCATCGAAATTCATTTTTATATTATGGAAATTTATATAGCGATCCGTAATCGTACGTTTCACAGTAGAAACCATATTCTGCTCAGTACTTGTCGATTTCCTGAGTAAATCAAAACACAAAGCAAAGTCAAGGAGCCATATTGCGATCAGCCGAAATGTACAGCACATCAGGATATCGGGCATAACAGTACACATGCAATCAACAAAATTTACCAAACACTAAATTTGATAACGTCAGTTTAACTTTTAAAACATCCTTTATTCCTAATTCTCAATCTTTTCTTGCCTATTTTATAATTACGCAGCCGGTGAGCATTCGCAGGAGACGAACGCAGGCTACTCGCGAAAACCGAACGGAAGTCATTTCATGAATTGATGTTCTTCTCTCTTCTTACTATATGCTCACTCCGCCATGCACCTTTAGCCAGTCTGTTTATTTCTTGTTCATATACACTCAAGCATAACATTCAGCGATTTATTCAAAGTAAGCCCGCTATATCTTAATGAATCTGCTCACTGAGTTCTTCCACACGCTCGGTATTTGCTTTTGTGTTATCCTCAGTTAATTACAAGCATATTAGTCATACACCTCATTTTCATTCCTATTCGGAGGACTTTTACCAGACATCGTATTCGGGGTGGTGAATTAGTAAAATTACTACCTTATTAATAATAATAAAATAAGGGCACATAAAACTGAGTCATTAAAATTTTGTATGGCTGTTAAACAGGTTCTGTCCTTCTAACTGTGGTCCCAGTTGATATTACTCGAGATAGCTGAAATGGATCGCTGTTATATTTAGCGGACCGTTGTGCGATAACTGATAGTTTGGGTTTATACTTCAGCAACACTCCGAGAATATGTGCAATGCACGAGGGCAAATTGTGTAATGTTTGTATCACAATGTTTTGTGCAATAAAGCTTTGCACAAAACAGTAATATCGAAGAGTATGTAGAAAAATAGTCCACTACTGACTTCGGGACCTAACAACGAGTTGGTATGCCACGATATGAGCAACCTCATAGACAGATTGTGGTGTATGTTCAACAACCAACCCCAACCCCAGGTGGGAGTATAAATAAATCTCCTCAGAAGCAGAACTCCAGGGTGATTTAATCGATACATCTGAGATAGCAAAGTGACTCTCCGATTTGGAACAAGCGACACCCTTCAAGGTGGTACAAGGCAATATGGTATAGTACTTGTAGAAACCTAAAAAATACTCATAATACTACTGCCGGCGCAGTCGCGTCTATCGTTTTAACAGCATGCATCGGTGTTCCGGACTAGGGGTTAATCACGTCCCGCACATCGCAAATAAAGTGTTCTTCAAACAGGTGACTAGCATAAAATCAGTCCTGAATGGAATCATATGTTGATCATCGACCTACAGTTTAATTAAACTAACCATGCTGAATCTCAATTCCTACCGCAGAAAACATTAAACACTAAAGTCATAGGAAGCATATATATAAAAAAAAATCCATAGCATTGTTTCTCATTATGCAAAATTATTTGGAGCGTCCTTTTATCTGGTATATCATATCTTCAACGTACATCCACGCATAGCTTACCCTTTAATATCCATTGAGGTCTTCACACAGTCATTCACGAACATTAGCATGAGCACTGTCGGGCGGAATTTTACTCGGCAACACTCCCGTGACTAAGTTATACTATTAGAAAATAGCTACTCGTGAGTAGTACACCTATATACTGATTGGAATAATACACACACACACACACACATATATATATATATATACAACTCACGGAGTTCAACCAATCAGTAACTTTCTTGGCAGTGAAATGACTTCCATTGTCAGTCACGATAGCATGCGGGACACCTTCTCTACTGAACTTTTTCCTGAGTGCTCGAATAGTAAATTCTGAACTGGGAGGTGGTAAAGTGGGTGGTAAAGTACACTTCTGGCCAACGGAAATAGGAATCGACGATCACCAATGCGTAATGCTTGTTGAAGAATGGACCACAGTAATCCACATGTATTCTTTGCCATGACTCGGAAGATGCTGGCCACGGAGTCCATTTCGAAGGCTGTCTGTGAGTTTTTTGCACACATTCAGCACAGGATTTAGCAACATGATTCAGATCATGATTCAATTCAGGCCAACGGCATGTGAGACGAGCAAGAGATTTCATCTTTTCAATGCCGAGATGACCGGACTGTAAGTCATTGAGAACAGCGTTACGTAATGTCGGAGGTACGATAATGAGATCGTTGTAGCACAGGACACCATCACACGTCACAGAAATTTCCTCACGAAGTTTATAGAATTCCGGAAATCAACGCATGGTATCACCTCGCCAACCTCGACGGACACAGGAAATGATAGCGTGGTAATATTCCCTGGTCTCACGAACTAGATCAGATCGCCTTACCGGGAGCGGTTGAGTGAGTAGATAATCAGCCGTAGAAGCCTCCTATGAAATGACGTAGCGTGATATATAGTCTGCATGTGGAATAGACTGCGCGCTGCAATGATGGATGTATTAGGAGTAGGCAGACAGCCCAATACTCCATCGTTATACTATGGCTGCAGATGACTTAGCCAAGGAACGTTGAGGGTTATAAATGAACTGCAGGGCTTCATGATCACTCACAATAGTGAAATGAGTACCATAAAGATACTTATGCATACG